GGGGTGGGAGCTACTGGAATTGTCTGGGCATGACGGGGCCCATCCCGATTTTCTGCCTGGCTTGAACTGCCTTTGATCGGAGTGGGGAAAGCATCATCCATAGCTTTGGTCACTATTGCAGATGTTTGTTGCTTGTTCATCCCTCTGACTTTCAGAGCCTCGACTGCCCACAGCAGTTGTTCAATAGGATCGGCGTCTACCTTTGCTTTCTCAACGGGCATGGAACTTACTCTTTGAGATGTGCAACCTCGGATCGGAGGCAATGGAAAATTGCCCCTGGTTTAGAGGGGGCGGATGGCAACGGAAAGTTGCCCCTGGTTTGAATGGCGGCTCACGACGACTCGTGGCAACGGAAAGTTGCCCCTTGTTTGGACGGTGCCGCAGCAGTCCGTAAACAGTCTTCATTGGTGGTGGTCGAACTCTTGGACACAGAGATGACGAAGACAGTTACAAAAAATATATGGACACAGTCACCTTGGAAGGTGTTGGCGACTGGACTTTGGGATGAAATCGAAACCATTGCATGGATAGAGACGCTATGAAAGCGTTGGGGGCTGGACTTCATGATGAAGTTGCCTACGTATCCCAAACATGGGAATCAAGCCTTACGTAGTTCCGGTTAAGGTACACTCGGGTATTTTAACCTTCACTTTTTCAGGCTCTAACTTTTGCCAAGGCGCCCGATGCGGGTTTTCGACCTTGCGAGCTTCTTTTCGTTTATTTTCTTTTTTTCATTTCTCTTTCTTTTCTTTTCCGCATTTTTCTTTTCTTTTTTGCTTCTTTTCTTTTTCTTTTGCTTCTTTTCTTTTTTGCTTCTTTTTGTATTTTTCTCTTACTTTAACTTTTGCCTGGGTCGCCCTTCCGGGTTTTCGACCCAGCGAGCCTCTCAAAGGGTAAAAGTGTAACAAGTCCATGCCAAATGGTTTTTTTTTTAGTTGAAGCCTCTCTGTGTCTAGGAGAACGGTTGTTGCACTGATTTGCGGAAGAACCCATGATGGTTGTTCCACGAGCTTCTTCTGGTGAGATCTACTCTTTGAATTCGGCCTTGGTGCCTCTTGTCCGAGGGCTGCTTCTGATCTGGCCATACAGACCTTGCATGACGTTTGACTGTTTGAACTTGCTGAACGGGTTCAAGGTTCGAAACAGACGGGTTGAATCTTGAGGCTGAGAGCGATCCTAGGCTGCACAATCTCAAGAGTGGTTCCACACTGGTCGTGTAAAACATTTGTTTTTGAAGGTTTTTAAGAAAGCGAGAAATCGCTCGTGCCGAAGATAGTGTGGAACCAATCTGGATTAAGCCAGGATCCTTCTCAGTACTCACGCCGACAAGCATGATTTCGTTCATTAAGGGCTTAGCATGCCTCTCTTTTTCTCAAAATGATTAAAATTTTGCAAAACCCGAGGAATTCCTTCCTCATCGTTTTTATCACCACAGTGCTCGAAAGAGGTTTTTGAAAGACTTAGGTTAGTGCAATGAACTTAGCGCACAGGAGAGCAGGCGAGATGTACCGTCAGCCCAATCAAATTCTCTGGCACTTAAACTGAAAGCAAGCATGAAAGTGAGATAACCACGGTTGTTTCATTCAAATCTGCTGGTGTAACTGGCCCCTCAGCAGAAACAGACTCAAAAACAAAAACGGGTAATTACAAGACAAAACGGTGTTCGGGACAACAACCCCAGAATCACCTGGTATTCTATACAAGGGGACTGACTCGCTACAACAAGACAGACCCTTAAAAAAGACTGACTCAAGACAAAGAGACAGACTCAAAACAAAAGACTGATTCGATACCCAAGCCAGGATTTGCAAAGTTAGCATTCACAGATGCTCAAAAATGCGTGCCAAACGCCACATTCAAAATACATCCAGATGCCGCCCGCAGGTGGTTCACCTTCTGATTACATACTTGCAGTATCTGTGTCCTCAAAATCCAATAGCTGGGTGGTAACGGACTTGGCTGAGGTGGGCGGGAGGATAACCTCGTTGTCAACCAAATCTTGCACCTCATGACGGAGGCTGAAACAATTGTCGGTTGCATGGCCGGTCTGCTGGTGGTACGCGCAGTACTGAGCAGCATCATGCGTAGCAGGGAGATTCTTCGGGAGAGGCCGAGGCTCCAAGGGTTTAAGGTGTCCCCTCTTGGCAAGGATCTGAAGTGCCTTAGATAGGGGCATGCTTTGTTTAGGGGTTTGGAGTTGAAGAAGAGAGGAAAGGAGAGGAGGTATGGAAATACCGGCGCTCGGGACTGGTATGCCGAGCTTCCCGATGCGGTCCGTCGCATAGTGGACCAGGCGGGCTTCGGCGCATTCTGCAAAGGACTCTCCAGGCTCACTACATGCAGACCTCTCCTCGCCGCTCTGGTGGAGAGGTGGTGGGACACCACCGATTCATTCCATTTCTCCGCGGCAGGGGACATGACGATGACCCCTTACGATTTCTCGATGCTCACAGGCATCGGGGTAGGGGGTGATCCGATCCCTTTTGATACTGACATGGACGAGTGGACTGCCGCTCAGATCCATCTACTTGGTGAGGTGCCACCTCTCGCGCGTCCTGGCTACGTCCGATATTCCTGGTTCGAGGTGCAGTTCAGGGTCCAGCCCACCCTTGTTGATGCAGCCCCGATGACTCCGGAGGCCGTGGAGAGATACGCACGCGGCTTCCTCATGTTCTTGTTTGGGACGACCATCTTCGCCGATCGGGCGAATACCGTGCCTCTTTGCCTGCTCAGCGCCCTGGTGGACGTCAGGGACATCTTGCATTACGATTGGGGTGGCGCCGCTCTGGCCACCCTTTACGGATATATAAGCTCAGCTTCTCGCGGTAGCGGACAGTTGCTCGGGGGCTATTGGCGTGTTTGGGAGGTACGTTTTTTTCCCGCTTTTCATTTCTGTCCTATATTTTCTGTACTCTGTACACTGCACACACTGTAGTCTGCTTTATACTTGATGTATACTGTACACACGACACACTCTGCACAATACACTGCACAACACATGGCTCTGCTATTTTTGCTTTTACTCTATATTCTGCTTTATCTGATAATCATATTGATGTTTTCTCTGCCGTTGTGGGTTTATGCCTACTTTCCCAGGCTTGCACCCGTGCCAGTCATGGAGACCCCTCTGGTCGTCCCTTTTTCGCGTCGCTTTGACGGGAGATGCACCTGGAGGCCGCGAGAGACATTTAGCTTCTTCCGTCGCTTCTTCGACACCATCACCCCTGCCGAGGTATGTTTTTATTTCAGAATTTCTCTAAGCTTTGCTTTTCGTTGCACACTTCAATAACGATAGATAACAAACTGTATGTCACTTTCAGATCACTTGGCAACCTTGGGCTCCGTTGCCGGCGACGATTCAGGACCGATTTGCCGGTGCTGTGGAGACCTCGCATTTCCGGATCTTACTGGAGGGCCCGGTCTGTTGGGCTTGGTACCTGGGTGAGCGTTTCCTACGCCAGACCGTAGGGTTACCGGAGCAGATAGTCCCGGTTCACCCTCCTGAGGATATGAGGGAGACCGAGAGGCTCACTACCGAACAGATGGCCGATTATACTATCGGCTGGGAGGCGACCCGCTTCAGAGGCATCGGCGACTACAAAGAGTACGTGCAGACGTACATTATGCGGTCTCTGAGCGGCGGCCATCGAGCTGAGGGAGCCAGGCCCGTGGTGCCAGCAGTTAGGGTAGGAGCGGGAGCTGGAGCAGGAGCATTGAGGAGGGCTCGGGTCCGTGGCAGGGGCGGAGTTCAGGGAGGATGGGGGACCGGTTGGCCTGTTCTGCCCACTTCACTGACTTTCCGAGGGCAGGGTGGGGCGACCTATCAGGTCCCCTTCGCCCCTCCGCCGGCTGATCACGAGTTTGTCGGTGTCCCCGACTTGCCTCCGGTATGTATTACTGCATTTTTGTACAGTCATTTCATTTCCGTTTATTTGATATTCCACAGAATATTGATGCATCTGATACTTTTGTAGGCTTCTTCTGAGTACACCCGACAGTCATTGGAGATGAATGCCTCCATGATGGGGATGATACAGCGGACCTTTGATCTCCTGGCCCTCTACAGCATTCCGGTATGTTCTTCTGATCACGGCCTCAAATCACTCACAAGCTGATTCACGTAATCTGATGCACGGCACAACACCTGATACACTGATCTCACAGCGTCTGATACACTGCGTACACTGCATTCTGCACTGTACTCTGCACTGATAAACTGCTCACGGCATTCATACATCGTACTCATACACCGTATTCTGCATTCATAGATTGTCCACGGCATTCACACACTGTACTCATACACTGCATTCTGCACTGTTAAACTGTCCACTGTATACTGATGCATTTGCCTTTTATGTACTTTTTCAGCCTCCCTTCCAGATTCCAGTGGTAGGAGGTGCTCCAGCTGGACCTTCTGTCCCCGCCCGAGGGAGAGATGAGGAGGACAGAGTATTCCCCCGCACCAAGGCGGGGCACACTCATGTCGGGAGTAGTTCGCGGGCTCCCATTCCTGATGATGAGGATGATGATGATGACGAGTCGGAGGCGGAGGCGGAGTCATCGGAGGAGGAGACCGGAGGCGGCACTAGCTCGGGCTCTGACGACGATGCTGATGATGCTCCTGGACCTTCGTCCAGGAAGAGGACTAGGACAGACCGATAACCCTCAGAGTCGCTTGACATGGATATAGATTTTTGTTGTTTTTCTTCTTTTTTTGTACTTTTCCCTTTTGTTGGTAGTCAGGATACTTTGTACTGCCGCAGACAGATTTTTGTTTTCCTCAAAACTTTGTACTTAAAAAAAGATTTTGAAATGAACAAATTTTTTGCTTAAAAAGTGTTACATTTACATATCTCATGTATTGCATCGCATCACATCATGTTACACCTCAATGTAAATGGAATTGATCTGTGGTCTGAATGTTGAACATTTGCATGGTAATAATCAGATAATTAAACAGCTAACAGCAAAATAGCCCAAGCAGCCCACTGCCTGATTCTGGACACACACAGCCTTTTACTCTGCTGGGGATTAATCTGCATTCAGCCCATAACACAGAATTCGGTTCATTCTGCACACAGTAAATCCTGAGCGAACGGCCCAATCTGACAAGACGGAGCTCCAAGATGGAACCGGTTGGAATTGAAGCACACTCAAATATAGAGAATGGCACAGCATTCTGAGTATAAATGATTTTTGAAATTAAATAAGGGTTTTTCAAACCGGGGTATCGAGCCTACAACTAAACACAGCGGGGAGGACTCAAACACAAAGGATACACGACCTAAACATAACGAGACACGCTCGGAAAAGACCTAAAACAAAGGTTGAAGTAAACAGAACAAAAGACACGACATACAGACGCGTTAACGAAGACGGGGAACCTCTGATCACGAGGAGCCAGTTTCCCTGGGTATTGTTTCCCACCTTTTCTGATTTGTGATTCTCACATCACTCAACCCACAAGCTCGGTTTTTCTCTCAAAACCCTTTTTCCTCACTTTTCTCTCAACTTACACCTCTCTATTATTTTTTCTCTCATTTTTCGTCCCTCCCCAAGGTGATTAATGAATGAATAGAAAGGTGTGGGTTCATGCTCAACACCGTTAGCTCACGGCTATTTCTTCTGGTGGGTAGAGTGCCCTTCTAGCAAGTATCTTGACGACCGGGGGGGGGAACAGAGTGCCTGGCTCAACTATGCCCCTAGTTCATCATTTTAACCATCCTTTTGTTTTTGCTTTCTACTAAAACAGTTTTGATCAATTGAGTATTCTGTGGGCAGATTCCACTTCCAGGCCAATATGATGCCCCTTCTCTATATCGTTCTGTTCCAGGCAGAAACTTTGATGACTCTGAGTCATATCTTGCAAATAGCAAGCAAACTGGTAGAGTTCGTGGTGTGCCTGATAACAACCTTATGAAAAGTTATGCTGCAGATAAAGAGAAGGCCAGTAATGTTGCAAAGATTAAAGTTGTGGTATGCTTCTTTTAAATTATTACTATTCTTTGTTTCCCAATTTGGTTCCCGTAATAATTATTTCTCTCCTTAGTAATTAGCTGAGTGTTACTAATGCCTGATTGCCAGCTTGAAAACCTTGAAACTACCAAAACCAACTGCTTGTTTGGATGAGTGTAACTTTTCTCTTCTCTGCAGTGTCTAATCTACTGAAAAACGCGTCTTAAAACTTGTTCTAAAATATGCTAATGATGACTTGGTTACAGGTGCGCAAAAGGCCACTAAATAAAAAGGAGCTGGCAAAGAATGAGGACGACATCATAACTATAGAGTCACGTTCCAGTTCTCTGACAGTTCATGAGACTAAACTTAAGGTTAGTATTGTTGCGTGGTTTATGTAGTGCTGGCTATCAATTTTAACTATTTTGAAATTTCAGTTTGATGTAAAAGCTCCTTGCCCTCATACTTTATTTTGAGTATAATTGTATGCATTGTTGTTTGTCCTTATATGACATGAACATATATAATTTTATTTTACCATTGTCTTTTCTTATTTTGGCCTTTTTCATATCAAAGCTATCCCAGTTATAGAATTTTGTGATCAAATTTTTTTGAACTTCATATATGTTGTTAAAAGTTTTATATCTCAAAATTCTGCAGGTTGACTTAACAGAATATGTGGAAAAGCATGAATTTGTTTTTGATGCAGTGCTGAATGAGGAGGTCTCAAATGATGAGGTGAGTACGCCGCATAAGCAAAAATAAGAAACTAAAATGAAAATACAAGCTACTTATGGATTTAGCATGATGGAAATAATTTATTAGGCCATTTGGCATTAGTTAATCTTGGTTTTCTTATCTTTCCGTAGGTATATCGTGAAACTGTGGAGCCCATTGTTCCAATAATTTTTCAGCGGACCAAAGCAACTTGTTTTGCGTATGGACAAACTGGTAAATATAGCTTTGTTCATATCTCTGATGGAATCTGTTACAACCTTTCTAAATTGGGTAGTCAAGAGATTGTCATTCCTCAATTTTTTTGTACTAATCATTACTTATTGGCGGTTTACCTAGGCACTCTTGTTGTGGAACTTCATTCTAGCACATAAAATTGTGATTTTTTTTTATGCTTGCTTGTTATTGGGCTGCTTTACGCTGCTTTAATCACACTTGTAACTGGTACTCAAATTGTTCTCTTGTGCATTATACAACTCGTGATTTTCGTTCTTGTTTTTTTGTCTCCTTGCTCTTGGTTTGACACCATTGTGCAACTGATTTAATTGTTGAAATGCAAACCAAACAAACAAACCAAGGCCCAATTCCTATCACCAAGTCAAGGAACAAGGCATGCATGCAAGATGCAATGTAACCTAGGCATACATGCTAAGGATGCAACATGGCATGGCAAGACACTTATGCAAGCATACAAGCAAACATGAGGCAATGCAAATTGATGCAAAGGTGGACTTATACATGATTTAGGCAACTCTAGATAGGCCTAAAACAGTGGCCAAAGTGACCAAAATAAAGGACTAGACACATACACACATGCACATGTTAAAGGAGCCAACACTTAGGCACAAATGGGACAACTCTCAAACACATTTGAAAGAAGGTAATCATGGACATATGGCATGCATGCAACATAAGCTCTGAAAATCATGTTAAAACATGGTGCCAAACCAAGCAACAAGTCAAGCTAAACATGCAACAAATGGCCCAAGTGCTTGAAGCAAGTCAAAGGGGCTTGAACCATGATCAAGTCAACCAAGCCTCACAAGGCTAAGAGGACTTAAAATAGGTTCAAGACAGACCTAGACCATGCAAAGGGGCCTCTTAGATGGCATCTAAGTGACTCAAATTCAAAAGCATATACATTGGCCAAAACATGGAACATGCTACACAAGCTCATAAGGCATCAAGGAGACATCCAATGCAAACATATAGGCATGCAAAGGGGACTGAAATGACATGGTGGATAATTTCAAACCACTAAATCAATGCGAGAATGTCATGCTATACATTCATACACTTAAGGCCAACAAGCCGGAATGCAAAGGAGCTATACTAAGCATGCCAAATCCGACCCAAACAATCTAGGACAGACCTTAAGCATGGCAAAATAAGCACACAAGCTTTACAAAACTAGACCTAAAACATGCTCGAGCAAAGGCTAACAACCTAAGGCTTATTAAGGCAATAACAAGGCATTACATGGTAAGTATGCTAAGCATGCATGGTGTACCAAAACCAACACACAACAAGGTTATATCATGGCATAATAAGCATGGAAAACAACCAAGACATGATCAATACACACTCTAACATGATGCTCTCTCAAGAGGCCAAAAAGGGTCCCTTTCAAGGACAACAAGGAGAGGGGGAGGCCCTCCCCTTTTGGAGACATCAAGGCACCATCTCCACCACTCAAATCCCTCAAGATTTTAGTGGCGAAGAGAACCAAACACCAAAGTCTTGAAACTCACTCAAAATAGCACAAAATGGGGCCTTTCAAGGCCTAAGAGGGGTCAAACACCTCCAAACCACAAAACACTCTTAATAAACAATCAAGAGGGATAAAAAACAGAACTTTTTTTTATTATACACTAGGCTCAAAAACGATTTTAAGACAGGTAGAAAAGCAATGTAAAAATGGGGAATAAAAGGGAAGTTTCTCACCCTTGTAGACCACCTTCACAAATGATGCTCCAACAGCCCTCCTTGGCTTGAAAACAGCTCCAAAACTTCAAAACCAACCTCTTAGAACCTCAGTAGCTAAGTGAAGGTGAAACACTATGTGTTTGTGTGCAATAGTAAGACACAAACACAATTTAACACACATAAGAGGGAGATATAGAGATAGAAAGTGTATGGTTTCTAACCCTAGAACTCAAAACCCTAAAAATGGCTATCTAAAAATATCTAAGGTATCTCAAGTGTCTAACCCTAAGGCCAAGAGAGAAGGCTCTCTCTTATAGAGCCTTTTGTCTTGTAAAGCTTACAAGACAAGCTTCTGAAGAGAGAGATCCCTCCATACACGTGTATGGAGGGGAGCCAAAAGCAAGATAGCTGTGATAAAATTTCTGCAAAAGCAGATGCACAGTAGTCGGCCGGCCAAAGATGCCATTTTGGCAAAAGTGAGTGCCGACCGGCAACAAAAAGTGCCGATGGCAGCAAAAACCAGCCGGTGACCTCTAACCACTGCCGGTGGTGTGTGGGGATGCCTCACAAGGCATTCCCTGCCCCTCCAAGGAAAAACACAAGTGTTTGGTGCAAAACCAATCACTAAACAGTCGAGTTCGGAGATCCTGAGGCAAGGCGCGTAGCCGAGACCTCCGGGAACTCCAAACGAACACAAACAAGGGGAAAGTCTTGAGGACGGTTCAAAATGGGGTGTCTACAGTTGCCCCTCTTTGACAGAACTCGAAAGTCATAACAATGACGGGAGTGAATGTCAAAGCCCGGAGACGACCCATTTTTGAGAAGGCCGAAGACTCAGACAAACATGCAAGACAAAACAAGATATGCACCCGAAGGCAGGGGGCAAAATGCAAGACAATGCACAGAGCCGAGCATAACTTATGATCATGCAAAGAAAGCTGTAACGAAGCATAACATGCGACAGTTTTAAGCTGGCATACACCAAACTACACTAAAATGCAGAAAGGATGTAAGAGAATTATGCGATTCTCGATACTTCTCACTCAGAGGATACAATACCTGGGCGGCTCGTCTGGTTGTACCAGCCTCGAACGAACCGTACATACAATATCGTGCCTACAAAGAAAACAACTTAACAGGTACGATATTGTTAGCAACAAGTATGACAATGCAAAAATGGATGTAGGGTGACATGCAATATATACAAAACAATGTATAAATAATGCAAATGGAGATGCAAATGCAATTGAAACAATGCAAACTATATGCAAAGTAATTGAATTACGATCCAATCACGAGTGGTTCGAAACCACACCTATGTCAAATAGATTGATGGAGGTAACAAGTCTGTCTACCATAGAACGGTCTACTGAACTATGAGCAACGTAGACAGACACAAGGAACAAGTATTGGGGGGAATTGACATAAGTGGGGAAACGACCCGCTGGAGAAAGGACAATGATCCTAATGCTGGATGCAAAAATTACACTACAATGCAATATATATATATATGAATATGCTGAGGAGGTGGCAATGGATATGGCACGCGGGCCAAACCAAATCTTGCCTAGGTAAGGCATGTACACATACAAGCCACGTCTAGCATAGAACGGTCCACTGAACTATGATTCGACACAAGAAGTATGGGCACATACCAGACCAGGCTCAACATGGAAAGGCGCAAGCCATAGATGGAAGTGATGCAATGAATGCATGCAATCTACAATGTAGTATTTACAAATATGCAATGGGGTGGATATTTACAATGGATATGGCCTGGGGGCCAAACCAAATCTTGCCTAGGAAAGGCATGTACGCGTACAAGCCATGTCTAACACATAAAAGGTGCCGCAACCCTCAAACCAACATACCAGCGTGGAATAGGCGCGTACACATGCAGAACTGTGCTTTAACGTGAAAAGTAAGGGCACATACCAAACCAAGCTCAACCTGGAAAGGCGCAAGCCATAGATGGAAGGTGATGCAATGAATGCATGCAATCTACAATGCAATATCTACAAATATGCAATGGAATGGATATTTACAAAATGCATGACAATGCAGTATGATGCGACCTACTGGGGAAAATCCAATGAATGCATGCAAGCTACAATGGAAATGCATGACAATGCACTATGATGCAACGGCTATGATTGCAGCTTTCCCTAACTTACCAACAGGGCGATATACTAGGTTGGTTCAGTATCCAGAACTGAGGCGCCAACATGCTGCCTCAATCTATGGGGCTTCCATACAGATTTCAAGCCGAGGATACACCCCTGGGTATTTAAACCAGACTTTAGTCTCGGAACTCCCGAACCTTTGCGTTCTAGGCATTAGCCGTTCGAACTCTAGTTTCCACCGTCCCAGTTGGTCTTCTAGGAACTCACCGCGAACATAGGCAGGTGGCTTTACCAGACCACCGAAAGTCGTTCGGGCACTACAAACACCAAAGGAATTGCACCTTCAGAGGATTTAGGGTCTCCTGGACCGGGATGCAAAATGTATGCACGACAATGCATGTGTTTTTTGTTTTTGAAATGCAAATGATGTATAAAATACATGTTGCATGGAATGTGCGACAACACGCGGCTTTAAAATACATGTATAATGCAACTTATCGAAAGTCGTTCGGGCACGACAAACACTGAAGGACTTGCACCTTCCGAGGATTTAGGGTCTCCTAGACCGTGGAGACTGCACAAGAGATGCACCGAAGGTTTCGCACCTCCAAAGGATTTAAGGTCTCCTAGACCGTGTAGATACCGGCGCGGCTCGTCTGGTTGCACCAGCCTCAAATGAACCGTACATACAATATCGAGCCTGAAAAGAAAACAAACTTAACAGGTACAATATTGTTAACAACATGCATGACAATGCAAATGAAGCATGATGCAAGACGATACAAATGAGACACGCGTGCCTCACGGAGATGCAAAATGATGCAAGTGTGACACGCATGCCACACGGAATGTAAATGGGCTTAAAATGCACAACAACGCACGTATTCGGGAATGCATGACAATGCATGGAATGGAAATGCAATGATGATGCATGAGAAATGTGCACGACAATGCAAAGGGGTGCGTGTTGCAACGCATGTAACACGTGCATAACAATGCAAACG